TCTCTCTCTCTCTCTCTCTCTCTCTCTCTCTCTCTCTCTCTCTCTCTCTCTCTCTCTCTCTCTCTCCTAATCGGGGACATTCCTTTGACTTCCATTACATTACAACCTAACCCTGACCACAAACCCTAAGGCTAACCTCACAGGTGACCCTAAAACTAACCTAAACTCAATTCACACCTTGGTCCTAAACCCAACCCCCCACCTGAAATTAGCATCCGTACCTGTGGGGACCAGTGAGTTTAGGTTAGTTTAAGGCTGCTTTTCTCTGGGAAATGGTTCCCACAATGTAGCAAAAACGTGCCCACACACACACACACACACACACCGTGGTTGAGGTAAAACTGTGCGATGGGCAGCAGGACTCTGGCGAAGGACAGGTCTGAGCTGAGCCGACCAAACAGGGCTTTGACACAAGGGAAGGCCCTGAAGACCATGGAGGGGTCCTGAACACACACACAGTCCAGGATACACACCGCCTCCACCAGACACTAATTCAACAAATCAGGACAGACACAATAAGGACAGCAGTTCGGAGGGATTTCTTGTTGTTCTATTTGAACTTCTGTGCACCACAAATCCTTAAAGTAATTTTTCTTCAAATGTTCCTGGTTGGAACTTCAGGCTTTTCATGAAGCTCACCGCTTTTTGCAGTTCTGTGTCTGTCTTCTTGTGTGCCTCTGACAGAAAGACACAAAAGCAGATCAGAGTCCACCCTTAAACAAAAGAAGCAAAAAAAACTCTCCTCCATCAGAAACTCACTGCGATCYCACTGCTCGATCAGCCGCTGGCAGTACTGGAGGGCTTTCTCTCTCAGACGCTCCTTTGGAGGAAGCAGGCGGCTGGAGGAGGAAGTGGCTGAAACCATGGAAACCACCGATCCCTCCACCTCTGACCGATCATCTGGAGCACGCAAAGTCAGGAGTCAGAGACCATGATTTATTAAAAACAGGCCTAATGGGAGTATACATCTCCTGCCTTGATTTAAAGTTTGTTGTTTATCTATTTTTCATTGACAAAACATGAGCCTAATGTTTGACAAAAAAAGTTCCTACACAGCTATTTTGGAAAAATTTTGAAACGATTATGTGGCATCTCACATCGATTCACTGCTGCTCAGACTGTATGTTGGGGATGAGTCTCAGCTACTGCCTCAGTAAAATGTAGCTCAGAATCTGTAAAGTTAACAGTGTTAGACAC